TCTGCCCGCCCACTCCCGCCCGTTATCTTGGAGGGAGGGAGGGAGGGAGGGAGGGGAAGAGAAAGAGGGAGGAGGGGAAGTCGCACCTCGCTCGGCGCTGTCCGCCCAGTCGGCGAGTTCGCTTTGTAACACCCCCGCCTGGACGGTGACGCGCGTATAGTCCGTAGGGTCCTGCGAGATTTCTGCAGGGGAAGAGGGGGGGAGAGGAAGAAGGAAAGAAGGGAGGTCCGTGGTCGTGCACATGTGGGACGAAAAAGAAAAAGAGAGAGATAGAAAGGGAGAGAGGCGGCCAACAGGCAGAATGAAAGCGACGTGCCAAGACGCCGTCCTCGTTTTGGCACAAAGGGAGAGATAGAACGTCACCGACCGGGCCCACCGACACCGTACTTTTAAATTGATCCAGGAAAAGGACGTCCGTATCATCCTCAGGGAAGATGTTGCTCCAGGAATGGAGGGCTCCCATAGGCCGCAGCTTCCCGCCTTGGGATTTAACTGTACGGACCAGACTGACACCGAGGGAGGGGATAACAAGGAGGGCAAAGGGCTAAGAGAGCATGTGCGGTGGTTCAAGCCCCCATTCTTCCTTTGAGATCCGATGGGTGCGTTTTGCTTTTACCTTGCCACTTCTTCGTAGGTTTTGGGATGATGCTTTCTCACCCCGGTCGCCTGTTCATTGTGCCCGAAATTTATCAAAAAGCTGCTGGCAGGATCACCGCCGAGTATGGGAGGATCCTGCTCAGAGAGTGACTGCGTCAGAGGTAGGACAAATTTGTCGCCCTCATGCGTGTCTATGACGGGCGTCTCTGTCACTGTCGGTGTAAAAGGAGGGAGCGAGCCGTCGGCTGCGGATGCAGAAGCCCGACGTAGGGAAGGATGGCCTTGCGTGGCGACGAGAGGGAGGTGCAGGAGCAAAATGACCGCGATCGTTCGCCTTTGAAAATACAGAACATGCATAGTCCTGTCATTAGACGGGAGAAATGGGAAGGAATGAAAGACGGGGAGGACTGAAATATATGACGTGTGGAATGGATCGATCCTTTTGGAACGGCCGTTGGATTGCTGCGAAAAAAAAAATCAATACATAAAAGTTGCACGCAGCCTAAAGCTGACATTGGAGGACATGAGCTCTTCAAAATTTAAATTCATACTACGTGGGCGAGGTTGTTGATCAACGCGAAGGTCGTTTCTCGCATAAAAAAGTTCGTCCAGCAAGAAGGAGTTAGTCGCTCAAAATTGATCTTTCCCTTGTACCCCTCGCCAGAGAAATAAGCCTCGTCACACACTTGACAATGCTTGCAAAAACATGACACCTATTCGATGAGCACGATCTGATCGAGAGGGAGCGTAGGCGTTTTGTGTTGCCTGGAGGCAATCGTTGGGTCGTGTCTCACATAGGGAATGGTAGCCTAACTCCTGCATTATCCCCGTGCTTCACTCGGTGCTGCTGATCCTCCTTGCTCTATTCTCCTCCCCTCCTCCTGCTACCACAGCTGCTTGGCCACCAATGTTAAGTGTGCCTTTCGTTGGTGTCATCGATAAAATTGAGAGCTGAGATGTATTTCCCCGGGGGCGGCGGAGGAAGAGAACAGCGTGGTGGCGGCAGACTCGACCCTGCGGATGCGTGGAGGACTTGGTGGGAGGGTGGAGGAGGAGGGCGAGAAGGAGGAGGAGGAGGAGGAGGGTTCGGGTTTATCCCCGGGTTGGGGGCACACGGGGTCCCTTTCCCTGGAATGAGTCATCCTTTTGGTGGGTACGGGACTGGGATCATGGAGTTTCCCCTCCCTTTATTGCACTTGCCACGCCTGATATCCTTTCCTACCCGCCACCGTCCTTCTCCCTCTCGGATGTGCACGGGCAGATCAAGTCCTCTCCTCCCTCCCTCCTCTCTCGATGATCCTCTGGGCTCCTCACACTTCACCGTCCTTCTTCTTG